AGGTTCAGGCACTGTGCTCAGCATGCTAAATGTACTCTGAAATTATGTGCTGGGAGACTAGTAAGAAAGACCTTTATGTCACCACATTAAACTCAGAGGAAGATTCAGTGTTTAACGACACTGGTCTTCCACTTTTTTGACTCATTTCTCACATTTTTCATAGATGATTGCCTAAATAGGGTCAGGTGGAATTTCAAGCCAAAGGAAAAGTTCATACAGTCTCAGCACAGGGTTTCTGCAGCTGGGAGGGCAAAATGGGCATAGTACACGAGGCTTCTGTAAGTCTACCAAGCTGCACTTGTGATTCTGCTAACAACATTTACCACGAGGCTAATGCTGCAGCTTCACGAGGAGGGGGTGAATGTGCCTCCACCTGGGAGAATAAAGGAAGAGTGATCCGACTACACCATTTCTCAGCCTCCCCAAAGGAACTGAAGCAGCACGCACTAGAGGGCTGTGCAACATGCTCCTCGTGGTGCCATTCACAGTGGCCAAGAAACGTGATCAGCCAAGTGCCCGTCAACGGAAGCGTGGACAAAGACACACCGTACACACTCACAGTGGAGGATTATTCAGCCCTGCACAAGGAAAGCATGTCATGTGCAGAAAAATAGATGGAATGGGGATCATCGTGTGAAGAGTCAGTATGGCATGTTTTCCTTAGTGTTCCCTTGTAAGTGATCTGTTTCCTGTCTCTGACGGCTTTTAATATTCTGTTCTTATATTGGATTTCTGGAATTTTGATTATTATATGCCTGGGTGTTGCTCTGTTTGGGTTGTAGGTGGCTGGGGTCCTGTATGCCTCATACATCTGAGTGTCTTTACCTTTTGCTAAATTAGGAAAATTCTCCTGGATTATTTCTGTGAATAGCTTTTGTAGTCCATTTGTTTGTGTCCCTACTTCTTCTTTTATGTTCTTAATTCTTAGGTTATAGATCCTCTTATCATCTTCTAGCCTTTGAATTATTGCTGTTTGTTTTCTTGTTATTTTTAAGAAGTTTTTCATTTCATGCTCTCACCTTACAAATCTGGCCTCCAGTTCAGATAATCTATCCTTAGTTATGCCAGTTTTCGATAGAGTTTTTAGTTTCCTGATAATCTCTTTGAACCTGCTTCACGTATTCTATGTTTTCTCTATTTTCTCCATCAAACAATTCTCCCCTTTTTTTCTGTTCTTCCATTCCACCATCTGTTTTTTGTTGGAAGTGCTTAGCATTTCTCTAACTATTCTATTTACATCTTGCTTTATTTCATTAAATACTTCACTTTTAAATTAGTCTATGAGGCTCTGGAGATATCGCTTTATGTCTATTGGTGCTGTGTCTGATATTGCATGTTTTCTGTCCTCATTCTCCTTTGCAGTTACCTTCCCTGGATCAGTATTCTCAGGATTGGGGGCCGAGGACCCTTTCTTATTGCTCCCTCTTCCCATAGTTTTTGTTCCTTCCATACAAGTGTATATGGGAGGTCAGTGTTTTTTTTCTAAATTACAGTTTGTTTGAATCCGTCGGCTAGGTGTTCCCGCCCACTGCAGTGTACTAGGGAGACAGGGACATGGGCAGCCTCAGCGGGGCCTGCCCCTCCAGGTCAACCTACTGAAGGCTTCACTTTTAGAGTGCACCGCCACGCGCAGGGACTTGGTTTGGGCTAGCCTACTGGGTCTTAGGCCATGACATCACCCAGGCCAAGTGCTCCCCACCAATCCTGCTTGAGAGGGGAATATGCAACTAAAGTCACTGCTGCGTCCTGTTCCAGCTAGTCTGCCCAGTCTCAGAATGTCCTCTGTTGGAGCCTCCTAGTCTATGGAGGGGTCCCCGTTCCTCTCACTCACTGCAGGTCAATGCAGGGCTCCCCGCCAGTCCCACTCTCAACTCCATTTGGTTTGCCGATTCCCGCTTTCAGAGGTTTCCCATCTCTCTCCCTGCTCTGCCGATTCAGACACAGCAGCAAATTCAGATCGAGGCTTCCAGAGGCATGGGTTCCAGGTTCAGCAGTGAGATTTTATCTGTTCCAGTTATAGCACCGGGATTGCATTTCCAGGTGGTTTCTCTCAGCTTAGTTCGTTCCTGGGTTGGCAGGGTATATCTCCCCTTGCTCAGGACTCCTCACACCACATCATTCCTAGATTCTAAGCTGGCTGTCTCAGAGAGCCTCCATAGCTGCTGCTATCTATCCGCCATGTTCTCCCAGAAGTCCACGTTTTCCTTAGTGTGTGGAATCTAGAAACGGGGGGGGGGGGAGCAACAGGAAGATAGTCACATCAAGTGTTCCACGCACATGTGACAGGGCCAGAGTGACACTGCCCTCCTGAGCAGAGAGTGAGCAGAGCAGCATGAAAGGGGGTGGGGTTCACCCCTGAGCCACTTCTAAGAAACAATGTGAACAGCACTGAGGAACAGATGGACAGCATGCTCCTCCTGGTGCTCCTGGTAACAGACTCTGGGATTGGAAGCAACGTCGTGGTTCTGACCCAGAATCCGAATCCACTTATCCAGAGTGCAAACCCCTCACATGAACTTCTAATGTATAGATCCTGTGCTACAGCGATCATAGCTATTACCTTACATAATAGCTGTTTCAGTAGTACATCTTCAGCTTCTTAAGGGCAAGAAAGAGTTCTTATTTACCTTTTTATTTACAGACAATAACACGTAGTAGGTGACCCATAGTCATGAAACAGAAATCAGAAAGAGTTGAGGATTCCAAAAGCAATTAGCTAAGACAGATCCAGAAGTAATAGAATCTTAACCTAAGTCTTGTTATTCTTGATAGGTTCCCCATTCGAGACTTGCCCAGTCACCATGGCGACAGTCCAAAGCTAAGTCATAATGGTACCTAGCTCCTTCTCCCCAGAGACCCCTGTGGTTTCTTCTTCCCAACCACCTTTGCCAAAGCCCATGCATGCCAAAAATGACCCTATTCCCTTTAGCCTCATCATACTGAGCAATCTACGTCAGCTGCCCAACACTCTCCTGTTAGAATACATGTAAGCTCAAATTACACCTTTTGTCCTCAGAGAACAGCACAGGGGCTGTTGCGATGACTCCCTCGTGCCTGTATTAAGCTTTATATCTTGCTGTTTTAATCTCTTTAATGTCTTGTATCATTTTAGATTAGGTACCTAACCGCAGCTCAATTAATTCTATATCCCTGCAAGCATTTACACACAGTGTGAACAGCACATCACAAAGTGACCTTCACCAAAGAAAGACAGAAGTTCAAACCCAGGGCCTCAGTCTTCAGGGAGCTTCCCTACCTGAGGAAACCCAGGACTCTCAGCTGACGGCGGCAGGAGGGCATCTGAGAGAGTTCCACATGCTCCCCGTCCCTGGATCTCAGTCACACTGGTCAGCCTGGCTTTGCTGACTGACTCACTTGTGACTCCAGAGGATAGAACTCTGTGGACCTCATTTATATCCCATTTTTTCATGTCAGCAATAAGAAGGACATTAGTGTTGGGAGCCGCGGCCGAGCCCGGTCGCCTTACTTGGCGGACGTGAGGCCTGTAAGAAAGAACAAAGCCTGAGCTAGATTACCCCTCCCATCGAGTGAGCCAAGTTGGCGCCTGCTTCCTGCCCCCTGATTGCCCTGGCGACGTAAGCAGCCCGCGCAATAGAATAGTCTGCCTAGCAACAACTGATGTTAGCCAGTCAGCCTGCATCGCGCGCTTTGAACTGATTGGCCACTGTTACCCTATAAAAGTGAATGCCTCTCCCGCTACGAGAGAGAAGCACAGAGAGAGATAGAGAAAGTCCACCGGCAAGAAAGGGCTGGTGGCAGAGCGGAGGCCTCGAGGGGCCCACGCGGAGACAAATAAAGGCAAGGTTGCACACCGTCAGAATCTGTCGTGTGTTTTTCCTGCCGGCCGGGAGCGACACCGACACATTAGTGCTGTGCATGACAGTGTACCCCTGTAATTCCAGCACCCCAGGAGGCTGAGGCAGGAGAACTGCAAATTTGAACCCAGTCAGGGCTTAGCAATTTAGCAAGACCTGTCTCAAAATTACAAAGGACTGGGATATAACTCAGCACAGAAGTCCTGTGTTCAATCGCTAGTATCCCTCTCCACCAAAAAAAAAGACCTTCTTGGTAAGATTTCAGGGTTAGGAAGAACTTCTGCTAAGATGAGAAATGGTGTTATGCAGGAAATAATTCCAGGACTGAGCACCTTAAATACTAGGAGAAAGAGATTCTCCTAATAATATGCTATAGAGTCACATCTCAAAACAGTCTGTATTTCCAAAGGGAGACAGGCAAAAGTGGGTTCGGCGGCATGGTATTTACCTGCTTTATTGACAGTCGCCATGTGTGGATACGATAGTAACCAGTGGGAGGAAAGGAAGTGTGTGTGTGTGTGTGTGTGTGTGTGTGTGTGTGTGTTAACCAGCATGGAGCTTTTCCCACAAGCTCTCCACACACACCCACACGGCCCTTCCCAGACTAGCTAGAGGTGGCCAAATCAACCTCTGGTTGGGGATTAGGACGACTGTGCTTAGCGTGAGCGACCAGTTTAGAGTGACAGGATCTGTCCCTAGACAGGGGATGGGCTCTTTAGTTCTTGAATCCTTGTCCCAGCAGGGCTGGATAGTGAGAAAAAAAAAAAAAAAAGAGGCAGGAGAGCAACAACAGTTCCCCAAACTACCACCAGTGTTTTGCACAAAGTTAAATTACTCCATAAACTTGTTGATCTTCTTTTATGAACATTAGAATCATTATAAAAGCAATACGGCAGCACGTTCAAAGTTCTCTAACCTAACAGCTGGTACTAATAATGTAAAACAAGTTAGGAGACAAGATGCACGTGTGCTGGGACTGCAGCACCCAACTGCGGCTGTGGGGGGCCACCTGGAATAGCAAGGCCCCGGAGGAAACTAATTCACTGATGTGCTAGCTGGAGGAATTAAGAGTAACCTTGGTTTTTAATTTCCCAAACACCCTGCACTACTGAAAACTGTTTAAGTGTTAATACACTAATGTGGGTAATTACGGTGATGGCCCACAGTCCCGCTGGGGTGTTACCGTATTCACACATGGCGACTGTGAATAGTCCTGGCTGCCTTTAAGAGTGTTTGAGATTGCAGTGCAATCGTTGCGTTCATGGGGATTCTCATCCAGGTCAGGGCTCGGGGAGGTTCTGAGGAGAGCCAAACACTGTGCTGGCGGACAGGACTTCTCGAGGAGCAGCGCTGAGCACCCAGACACTTCTCTGAGTAAGTGCGATGTCTGCTTTTCCCATCACATGTTTTAACAATGTTTGATGGATTTAAATTAAGTATAAAAAGCAAACTTGGGGCGGGTGGCCTGACATTACACACAGGCCACGTGGGTCAGCCAGAAGCCAAGCTCCAAGTCGCTGAGAGAGCACAGGTGCTGTTTCTCACACAGCCGACCCCGCGCTGCCCCGAGGTGCCAGGAGTGACAGCATTCCCACGAGCAGCGCAGGCTCTGACTACGGTCTCGGGAGCGGGCAGCCTGCCCGGCGGTGCAGGCCAGTGACCGAGCAGCTTTCCCCGGGCAGCTTTGTGTGGCGAGGCCTCCAGGTGAGTAGCCCCAGACTCGCCTGTACTGAGGATTAACGGTGCTGGGTCAGCAGTGGGGAGGATCCGCCTAATGTAGAGAAACTGCACATTGATTGCCTCTGTCCAAACACAAGATAAGAAGGGACTGAGGGGCACGAGATGGTGCGGGTCGGTCCCACCAGGAATGACTGGTTCTCTGGAGAGTGTCATACTGGAAAGTCCCTGGCATGTGACATCCTTGAACCGCCTCCATTTCCTCACTTCAGGTACACTGCTACCAGCGGCAAGTTATAGACAATCCATTCACAGAGTGACAGTGGAGACATACATTTCTTTGAATGTTTTATTTGATGAGTACATGCTTGCTGTTTGTGCAGTTCACGATCATTGCGGGCGTGAGATGCACACGCCACAGCTGTGCCATGTTTGAGCCTCATCCCCTTCCGCCCCACCCTTCCTCCTCCAGTTCCCCGCCCATCTTTCATGCTCGTTGTCCTTATTAACCTCAGCTCACGTTACAGTATATGGTGTCTGCATTCATGCACTGAGCACTGCAGAAGCGGCCGGGCCACTCCCCGGGGGCTGGCTGCCCGGCATGGCTCTAGTCTCCTCCTTTCTTCTCTCCGTCCTCCTCACCCCTCTGGACCGCTTCCCCACTGCAAGAGACTCACCTTTCCTTGTTCTTTTCCATGCATCCACATTGTTCCCTTCGTTTGCTCTTTTACCCACTCACGAGAGATACATACAGTCTCTATGCTTGTGTGTCTGATTAATTTCATTTGATATATTTTCTAGGAAAATCCATTTTCCTACAAATGTCTGGAATCTGTCATTCTGTATAACAGAGTAGTATTCGTCATATACAGATACATTTTCTTTATCCAGTCCTCTGTTGGTGGGTGTATTAGCTGTTACAAATGCGCTGCTAGACACATTGGTATGCACGTATTGGTGTGCTGTGATCTTTGGGAGGTACCTAGCGGGGTGATACTGGGTCATATGGAATCCCTAATTTAGTTCTTTGGGAAATCCCCACATTGCTTTCATAATGGTTGTACCAGTTTACACTAACAGCGGAGAAGAGTTCCATTTCCCCCACAGCCTCACCAGCATTTGTTACTGTTTGATTTCTTAATGACTGCTGTACTTTCTGAAGTAATACGGAATCTCAGCATTGGTTTAATTTGCACTTCTCTGATGGCCAGAGATGCTGAGGAGTTTTTCATATATTTGATGGTCATTTGTATTTCTTCCTCTGTGAAGGGAGACATTATTTACCACTAGAAGACCAGAGCCAGGTGAGCTAATTCAGCCTCTTGACGTCATCTAAAGGATGTAGATTTTCTCCAGCTTTGGCCTCTATCTTTATTCTGAAACTTTGCCTTCAGACTCCTGTTATGGTAGCATGGCCTACATGGTGACATCACACTCGGACACAATACATCCAGAAAAAGATAAAGGTTCCATCCTCATATCTATCTTCTTTTCCAATAAGGAAACTCATCCAAGAACTCCTAGAACAAATCATGCCAAAACTGATTTCTGGCAGAGTGACTATGATTTACGTCATGTAATGAAGGGAATACCCATGACAAGGATGGACTAGCAAATGAATCAGAATTCTGTTCGAAAGGCAGACTTGGGGCCGAGTGTGGTGGTGCACGCCTGTAATCCCAGCACTTGGGAGGCTGAAGCAGGAAGAGCTCTGTGAGTTCAAGGCCAGCCTGGGCTACAAAGTGAGTTCTAGGCCAGCCTGAGCAGCATAGTGAAGCCCTGTCTCAAAAAGACAAAGGAGGAACAGGAGGAGGAAGAGCAGGAGGAGGAGGAGGAGGAGTAGGAGGCATCAGAGGGGAAAGAATAGAGAATTAAAGTGCAGATACGCTTAGGTGCCCCATATTATTGATGCTCCCTTTTCTCCTCCAACCAGAAAAGTGACCCCTGACCTCTCCCATAGTTAGGTTTTCAAGCACTTGTCCCACCTGGATGACAGGGGACATTAAATATAGGCCACTTGTTCCTCAGAAATCCCTCTTGGCTCATCTTCTAACCCCTCTGGATTTGGGAGATTCTCTTTTGCTTCTTGGCATTGCTGGGATCCTCCCCGTCTGCCTCCTTCCTCTCCAAATCTCATGTCACTGCCAAACTTACTCTTCTTTTCAGTTGATTATGAGTCTTTCCCCCAAACAGGATCATGAACTTCCAGGGATCAGACACTGTGTGTTTATGTTTTGAACCACACGGCATCTGGATCTCTACCTGGTACACATGGGTGCACTGTTTGATCAGTTGAAATCACAACTTTGCACCAAACAGCCAAGTGACTTTCTAGCACACTCAAGTCCTGCCACTCAAGGCTGATGCTGTGTTTCCAGATAAAATCAGCCTAAGGTGATAGAAAGCATGCCTCAGGTGGAGGCTAAGCCCTCTGCTTGCACACATGAGAAAAACCTGCATCTTTGAGATGTCTCTGAGCAGCAGAACGGGCCCCAGGGCCACAGTGAGCAGCCACATACCTTCTTCCCAGCCCCCAGCCCCAGGAGGACAGGAACTGTCCCTCAGCAAAAGTCTCAGAAGCACACGGAGCATGCAGGAAAGAGCCAGTTCCTTAACTTTGACTTTGTCTTTAAAATGAAGCTCAAGGAAGTTCCTGTCCACTCCTGCACTGTGAGCACCGTCCTGGCCAGTGTCAGGGTTGCCGGATCTGTCTGCTTCTTCCCTCCCCGTTCCCGAACCCTGCAGTCGGACAGGTGAGGGGACAGCAGCTCTTCCGTCTCTCGGGCTCCATTTCCGCAGCCAGCGTGCCTCAACTCTGCCCCGCTTCTCCACTCTGCCTGGCTGACTACTCATTCAGAAACACCGCGGCTTGACAGCGCCCTCCAAAAACAAGTGCCAAAGGAAAACGGAAACTGCTAGTAGACTAGTAAAGGCAGATTTTGTGTGGGAACTGTTGCAGAGGGAAAAGAAAAACCAGAACTCCTAGAAAAACCTTAAACTTTAGAACTTGGCCGGGAAAAGTGGAAATTTACAGCCAAGAGGCAAGTTTAGGGGTCAGTGAATGGAAAATTAGTCTGAGCAAACCTGAGGGCCGGGGTGGATTCTGCTGCTAAAGGCAGCACAGGGTGCTCGGATCCCTAATGTGAGGGGTCAGAAACCTGATCAGATCTCAAGGGTATGGGGGTTCTCATTAAACTGCGAGGTCAGGAGAAACTTGATTAAAGTTTGGTCACATAGAGCTTTGTCATAAGAGTGACCCTGGCTATGTAACCACGGCAGAAAACAGGGGAACTCCCTCTGCTCTGGCCAAGCGGCCTAAAATTAGATATTATCCAAGACACTCACTAAACACCGCTTATGTTGACATTTTCAACCTAGAAAGAGCATCAGCTTTGAAGTCAGCTAGATGTGTCTTCAAATCTCAGCTCAGGGGCTGATGTGTGGACCTCATGCAATCCAATCATCTCTCTGCATCACTAAAATACCAGTCATGAAACTAACTCAGAGGTCTTAGGGCAAGGCTGCTCACTTCTTGGTGGCCAGGAAGCAGAGCACAGAGGAAGAACACCGAAGAGACAGATGCCCTCCAAAGACATGTGCCCAGTGACCCACCTCCTCTGGGGCCCTTTGTAGCAGCACACTCACCTGTGAACTTCAGCGGCTTAATTCAATGCTAAGTATGTACCCTATGATCCACCTGCTCAACAGTGTCTTCATCCAGTGGAGTTGACAATTAAGTTAACTGTCACACAGACTGTGTTGAGCTTTTCAAGCTTGCTCTTTGTTGTAGTCAGGTGTTGTAAGAACAACAATTATGTACCGGACACATAATTGATAGGATTATTTATAATGATCACCCAAGGAGTCAAGCACAAAGCAAGGGCAGGAAATCTGTCCACACACTGAAGACCCATGAAGTTCAGCTGAGGGCCTGGATCCCACGGCAATCACCTGCATGAGTTCAGCTGAAAACCTACAGCCCACAACACTGAGCCACGCAAGTCCAGCCCACAGATCTGTGCTGGGAAGGCCCAAAGGTCGGCAAAGTCTATGCCAGCGGGGTGAAGGAGCTGTGCCAGCAGGCCAAGGGTTCTGTACTGGAACCAAGAAGCAAAGCTCAAAGTCAAAGGACCAGGGAGACCCTGTAAGGACCACAGCCACCGTCAGTGACAGTGCGGTCCCAAGCTCCTCTGATGATGAGAACAGCCCAGTTCATATCAGGAAGCCAGCGTGACAAGCTTCTCCTGGAGATTAAACAGCACACATAATCCCTGCCAGAGCCAGGAAACAATGCTCAAAGTAAGGACCAAAGCTCCCCAAAGTGAACCACAGCCATTCTCAGCAAAAAGGTCTTGAGCTCCTCTGGTGACAGCTGAGTTCCTATCAGGGAGGCCAGCATGATGAGCTCCTCCAGGAAAACCAACAGCTCCAAACAGCAACACTTAGGAGAACCTACAATGCTACTCTTCCTCTCCAGGCCTCCTTTTTATGCTGGCAGCAGTCCTCAGGTGGGCCATCCACACTCAGCACCACGCTGATAGAGGACAGCTGGTGTTTAACCTGACCGCCAGTACCAATCCATTATAGACTTACTGCATCAACCCTGCACCCTACGCCACCAAGCCGTCTTATGGACTTTGATTCTCTCAGCTAGTGTCAAGGCCTCTTCCAGCCAACATGTTGATTGACTTGTTTCTGTACCTTCACGCACTCCTCTTTGGTGTGGGCAGGATAAGGCATTGAAAGGCCCTGACCGGCAGAGCCTGGACCTCAGCAGCAACATCACAGCACACTGAGGTCTGGGCCCTTGTCTCAGCTCCAGCACAAGTTACAGGGCTCAGAGAACAGAGAGTTGTTCCACGGCTATTCCTTGGGCACCTCTCATGAGCAGAACTCTGGCAGGAAAAGCAAATATGACCCCAAATGAGGTCTACAAGGTGGCTGGCCTCGTGGCAGCACCTTCTCATGGGTGAGGAAGGGGCCACGTCCTAACGTATCAAACCTGAAGCAGATTAGTTTTCTGAGCA